GGGGGGGGGTTCTTCTGAAAATGGCCCATTTTAACAAGCAGAAAATTCTTGCCCTTTAATATGATATCAGTTAAGTAGCAGACATGTATTCTTTGTTAAAGTTAAGAGGTTAGAGTTCGTGTGAGTCAACACAGGGTTCATGTGTTTTTTTCCTATTATTAATTTGTTTTATTGGCCTAGGGTTCGCTGTATGAACTGTCTGTTCGTTCTCTTAATTAATCATAGGTCAAGGTTCACAGAGGTTTTCTTCTCTTCTTGTTTGTTGTACTGGTGTAGGCTTTGGTGATTGGACTACAAACATGTGTTCCTTCTTCTGAAAATCAATCACAGGTCAGGGTTCATGGGTCAGCATAGAGTTTACGAAATTTCTGTGGGTGGTTGGCGGGTGCTCTGGTGTGGTTTGCTTCTTCTACTTTCCTATCAAACATCTATCGTCCTTATCTCCCCTTCTTCTTTTTCATGTTTGTTGCTCTCTAGTAACACCTCTAATCTTCTGGCGCTCATATGACCTTATGCAGTTGCGAGCGCCGTAAAACCTCTACTAAAACAAAACGGAATTTCTTCTACTCCTTTCTGATGAGATCTGGTCTCTGTATGCGCAATTTGAGTACAGAATGGGCATCATGTTAAATTAGCTGAACGATTTAATGTTTGACTCTGTGTCCTTGTGTGTTGTATGTGTGTGTGGATAGGTCTGTATGAGCATCTATGGTTTAGTGGCTAGGCCCTGCGTTGTCGTATGTTTCTAAAAAATGGTTTGATTCCTGTGGGGAGAATCTTTACCAAGTATGTCTGTCTTTCTGCTGGGACATTGCATCCCTCACAGCCCGGTTTGACCCTATAGGCAGGGTTGAAGCCCACCTTCGAAATGGTCTTAATTTTGTTGAATCGTTCTGTCTGTAGCGAGGTAGATGTTTGGGGAGAGGGGTGGGTGGAAGGGGAAGGGTGACTTTCGTAGATCTAATTTCTTTTTCTTCATCTATTGTCTCTGTCTATTTTTCATTTCTCTCTTGCTCCGAATGACTGTTACCGTGTCGATGAGGTCCTCTTTGCGTCAGCTATCGTCTCCTCCTTTCATGTTGTTTTGATTTTGTTTGTGATTTTGACCAGCGTCTGTAGTGTAGCCGTTACGTGCTTCACCGTTTCACACATAAGACCCGAGCTCGATTCACCAGTAAGGACAATTTTTGGGGGGTATCTCGGTCCTTCTGCTGGGATGTTGTATCTCTTTTAATGCAGGCTTCCCTCGAAAACCGTTTCCTAAATGTTTTAAATTGTGTTGATGGGGGCATAAAAGCACCATATTTTTGTTTTCCTTTGATTTTGACTCTTTGTTTGTCTGTGTAGCTCAGACTTCTCCGTTCTGCAGTAAGTGAGTCCACTTCTTGTCAGTGTTCTAACCACAGAATTTCTTAAAAAGACAGAAGGTGCAATGAGCCGTTTAAGACTTTGTGGAGAAACAGAAAACTAAGCTCAGCCTAGTCTATAACCAGGTACTACCTCTGCCAATATGAATTTAAATTAAACCCAACCCACCTCTTTCTTAGAGACACTTTGTTGTAGGAACAACTGAATTAAATTGTGAATGCTTCAGGCATGGAGATACTTTGAACAGAAGTAATAATTTTTTCACACAAAAATGTGTGTACTCTTTAAACTTATTTCATGAAATAAGTAGTATCCTTTGTAACGGTGCTCGTCAAATTTTTTATTGCCAGCTTCCACTTTTGCCGCTTTAATGAGAAAATTTCTGGGCCGCCCACCTTCATGTATTTTCAATCAGGGTTTTAAATAACACCTGTCACTATTCAGGTGATCCTTACTGCCCATGAAAATTACCAAATTGCCCGCTAGTGGGCAAGATCGCTGAGGTTTGCTAGCGCTGCTGTATATTTTGGACATTCTTAACCTTAGAGAAGTGTTTTATACTCATAAATAGACAAGATAACGCCATTAATGTATCATTGGATACCTATCTACCCTCTGTTGTGGTGGAGTTCCTTTTTTTCTTATGTTATCTTGTTTTAGCGACAGTCTTCCTGCCATTGCACCTTCTATCATCCCTCCCACTTCTGTGGTTTCACCTTCCCCAGTTATGCTAACAACATGTGGCAAGTTTTCAATACATGTATTACTCTAAGTGATGAAAAGTGATGAGTCATTTGTTTGAAATATAACAGCTAGGTTTCAAAAAATATTTTTTTAAAAAGAGGAATAAAAGTCTCTTGAATATTCAAACAATTTGTTTCTGTAAATGAAATAACTAAAATGGTCTGATTGGTAAAAGCCCTCACGAGAACGCCTGAAGTTTTAGTTTTTGTTGGTTGGGGGAGGGGGGTTGTTTGTTTGTGTTTTTTGTTGTTGTTTGTTTGTGTTTTTTGTTGTTGTTTGTTGGGTTCTTCATTTTAACTTTTTTGCTAGAAGTTAAATTAATGGTTGTCCTTTGAAATGTGAGGAAGATGCACTCTTATGAAATTTTATGGGGACTGACCAATTTTCTCGCGGTTATCGCTGACGCTTTTACACTTGCCTCACCCCCCCCAGCTCGTTTTTTTCCAGCTTGAAAAAAAAAAACCCAATTAAATGTGACCAGGCCTGTATTCAATATGAATGGATTAAGAATTAAAATGTATTACAGAAATGTTATGATAATAATAATACATGTAATAATAATATAACATATTGAATATAATATGTAAGTGTAAGTTACATGTAGCTTTAAAAGAAAATGCCCTTCATTTCCCCTAGAGGTTTGTTCTGACCTGAGCGTAATGATGTTACAGACAGAGTTCTGAATCCCTTCCCTCCTACTCCCGTATCCTGACAATGCCCTTTTCTCCAGCACCTCCTTGTTTTTGTCATGTGACTGATTACTTTGTTCGAAACCTTTTCAGAGATCAAACTGGAAGGTAATGCTCGGTTTTCAGTACTCTGAAAGTGTCTGGCTGCTGTCGTTGCTATGTGATCTTTTCTTGGTGTTTTTTCCCCCCGTTCACTGTAGACTTCACGTAATACCATGCAAACTTATATAACTGTATGTACCTATGCACCTTTAGATTTTATTTGTTTAAAAAGATATTATTTTTTTTAGACCTTTTGATTTTTTAATTAATGTGTGATTGCTTCCTTTTTTGTTGTGTATGTGATTGGTTGCTGTGATTGTGTATATAATTGCTCACTCCCCTGTCGTTTTCTCACATTTTATTACTTGCGTGAGTGAATGCCAGTGGAGTGTTCAATTGTCCTCTATTCGAACTTAATGTCAGTAGAGTGAGATTGCATTAGAGCTGCACCAGAGCTGAAAGCTTTTTTTTTTTTGCCAAGCATCTGCACGAGTGTAGCAACTTTTAACCTAACAGGATGCCTTTGTCAGTGTGGTCACTTTGCTTTCTCTTCATTTCAGTCTTACTGTATGATCTTTTGCCTTTTTCACTTCTTCTTTCACGCAAAGGACTGTTTTGCTTTCTCTCCATTTCAGTCTTACTTTATGATCTTTTGCCTTTTTCACTTCTTCTTTAACACAAAGGACTCATGACTGATTTCTATTGGGTTATTTCACAGTAGACACACACATTTCCATCTCTTATTAACATAATATGTCTTTATAGTTTCTGGTCAGTGTTGAAGTAACAACTTTGCACATGTTTTCACTACTAATACAATCCGTCTCCCGTAAATTCTTCTGTACGGGTGGTTGGAGGGTGTCACTGGTTGGTCCTATTGTCCTTGTGTTGTTTCTGTCTATTGGTTGTTGTCTTTTCCATTATTTCATAGTGTCGAGCTGCTTCTCTTCGCTCAAACTAAAACCAAATCTGTTCTGTGAGTAGGTAAAATATTGTACTTGAGAATCAATTACACAGTAACTTTTTAATTAATGCAGCACAGACATTTTGATAACTAATGTCTCTGTAAAATAATTATTCATGGTTAAGTGCACCTTTTTGATATTTCAAGATTTTTGGGGGGTAAAGACTCGATAAATAATATTCTGAGAAAGCCTAGTACCAGTACAGTACTTCAACGTAACAGTTAACTGACGGGTTTAATTTTAAAATTTTTTTTTTTTCATTTATTTATTTATTTATTTTTTTTTGGGGGGGGGGGGGGGGTGGTTGTAGGAGAGTTGTGAACAATGAAAATAAAAGATTTCTACCACATAAACACTACTAATGTGAGACTGCCGAATTTTCTTTGTTTTTAACTGGGTTTTCGGTTTAGACAGTTTGCTCAAATAGAAGAAATAAAAATTGGGGGACTTTCTTTTCTTTCGGTTTACTGCTGTTATCGAATTAAACATGTTTAGTTTAAGTGGATTCTATATATATAAATAGTGTCATACTTCTCGTCGTCTCCTGAAAGATGCAGATTGTATTGTTTATTACTATAATTAAGAAGCTCAACATAAAAGATGACTTCACCTTGGAATATTTATTGAAGGAATGCATTCTGTTGCTTATGATTTTTTTAAAGATATGCTTTTGAGGAGACTATTTAAACATTGACTTCTTGGTTTTAAAAAAATACAGTCAAACCTGCCAAAACGACCATATGTCTGAGACAATTTGTACAAACGACCACTTCCCACTTCCCCATAGCATTTTTCCACCATTGTAATGACACTACTGTCCATGAGGACCACCTGTCTGTGATGACCACTTCTGTCTTTGACAATGGACAAGATTGACTGTGACTTGTTTGACATTGGTTGTGTGTGGGACTGCAGGGCATTAGCTGTCATTAGACCAGTATTCAAGGCTTCAGCCTTTTCTGTTATTCCCTTTTTAAAAACGTTTTGTTCCATGTAGACGTAGATATTTTTGTTTTATTTTCTATCACATCATGATATTTAATTCTGTAGTGGCTGCCCTAGCTTTTAGTGTGCTCGGTATTTGTAGTTGTACCATGCTTAACTCAATGAGAACACGCAGTCCTGTCATTCAACAACTCTTGAAGATGCGCTGTTTTGGGACACCCTGAACAGGAAGCATAATTTCCCTTTTCATACAAATGTTGTGCATATTGTGAAATTGGCTTTCTGATCTGTGTATAATGGTTCAAAATGTGCAGCAACGTTACCTTCGGTCAGGTGCAGATTGGACATATGTGTCCCCTATGTTATTAAAGAGTAAATGTCTAACGTTTGTGTTTGCCGTTTGACTTGACGGAGAATAAATGCTTGTGGTTGTGAGGCATAGAGCTCGACTTCTGACCAGTATGAAGTTGTTCACTTTGTCATGCACGAGCTGTTGTTAGCCATCAGAATAACCTTTTTACACCTGTTCTCACAGTTATCATCCTCTCAAATGTATGTTCTTAGTTTATTTAGTCTAATGAAAGATCTCTTAATTTGTGTCTTTTCAGTGTTCCTCTGTGCTTGTTCTTACATTTTACATCCTTTCAAATTAGTGTCCGTGGCTTATTTTGTTCAAAGAAAGGTCTCATAGTTGTTTGTATCTTTCCATCATGTTCCTCTGCTCACGCTGTGCTGTGAATGAGTCTCTACAATACCCATGCCTTCTGCTGTCATGTTTTCTCACTGCTTGTTGAATAGGCAGGATTTTGGTATGGTTTGTGCACACTAGCATCGTTCCTGCTCACCGTGGAGCACACCGTTTGACTCAAGTAGCTGGAACTAAATTCTCAATGTTTTGCCATTCTTTGCTCTCTATGAAAACTTCACTGCGCTGAACCATGGATGTGCACATGAAAGACAATAAATATTCCGGTAGGTGCTGTAAGGTTTTTAAAAGGCGGACCCACCAACTGGTGTATTTGGTGTGGCGGTATGGGCGCTCCGCTGCTGCATGTAGAAGACGTGAAATCAGTTGCAGTGTGAGGAGAATTTTTGTCGAATATCTTTCTGCTGGAATGTTATATCCCCTTCAGCTTGGGTTGGCCCAGGTCAAAATCCACCTCCTAAATTATTTTATTTATGGTGATGGGGGTATGAAACGCCTCCTTTATAAAACACCTCCTGTTTTCTCTTTTTCTTTGTGGAGTCCAAGTTCCAGGTATCTGATCAGACTGGCTCTTGTATTGCTGACACCACTTCTGTCTTTATTGCTCATTAAATACCAAAGACTGTTTAGCGTTATTTTACTCCACTTCTCTGTCAATGTTCCAATTTAACCAACTTCTTTAGCATAACACTTAGTCTCTGTCTTTGCACACAGAAGGCATGGGTTTGATTCCCATATTAAGGAGTTTATTGTATCTTGTGTTCTGTGTTCTTTCTACTGGGGTTTCTGATACCACTCAGAAGTAGACAGACTACTTCCTTAATCATCTAATTTTTAAAAAGACATTTTATTGTTTCAGTGGAGGTGTAACACATTCAAAATTATGACAGTCTGTTGTTTCAGTTTCCCTTTTCATGTTGACTGATGTGCTCCTCTTGTGTATCTATTCCACTGTCTTCTGGAAGCCATACACTGGAATTGATAATATACTAGACAGGGTACAGTTATGACCACTGCTCTTTGCCCTCTATAAAAACATTGATAACTCACTGGGCTGGTACGCACCATTGCCGTGCAAATGTAGGTCAGAAGTGCACACACAACCCTTTCCCCCTTGCCCTTATCATTTGGTTCCAAATGCATTGTAGCATAAAATTGTGCTCTCTGTGGTGACTAGAATTACACCAGGGGGCACAGTCTTGGAATAGTATAGTACAAGTATATATAGCGTGAGCTGAGGTGACATTGGCATTGTTGTTTTGTGCAGATTATATTGCCTTCATGGATTTCACTCTCTAAAATGTCCTCATTTATCAGCATTTTCCTTGTGTTTTTTAATGCTTATTTTTTGGGTTGTGCTTTTTGGGATTTTTTTCCTTTTTTCTTAAATCCAGTTGTTGCTTCTGGTCTAGTTGATGAATGTGCAATCGAGTGCTTGACAGCCTTTTTTACTTTAAAGCCAGTGCCCATTTTTGCAACATTTAAAAGCTAAAATTTTCGTACCACCCACTACACTCTCTTACAAGCGGGGCTTTGTCGCTAACCGGGTGATCCCTGCAGCCTACCAGAACTACGGAATCGCTCTCTAATGGGTGATATCACCCAGGTTGTTATGAACGGATGCAATCCACAACTTTATGAACCATCAACATCTGTGGTGTGACAGTCAGGCTGTAGTTTGAGAGACGATTGGACAGAGGAGACTTTGACGTAGTGTTTTTTGAGGGGGAGATTTTCCTTTTTCCTAGATTTTTTTGCTTTTGAATATCTGCAATCATGAGCATTTTCCTGGATGTATGTATGTATGTTTGTTTGTTTGTTGGGTTTTTTTTTCTTTCTTAATTCAAAACTATTTTGTTGCCCCCCTCCCCCCTCTCATAAATGAGCATTTTCTTGGGTGTTTTTTGCATTAAATTTTAAAAAAATAAATTTTTTATTGGCTTCCCGTCCCCTCCTTGTCTCTCTACTATCAATATTTGATTTTACCTACTTCTTGTCCTTGTACAAGTACCTAATGTCAAATCTTAATGGAATTTCTAAAACAGAAATGTTAAATTGACCTTGATTAGAGACTATTTCTTTTTTGACCGTAGGAATATTGGAGATGGAAATACAATCTATTATAATTGTTGTTTTGGGTGTCATCATCATCATCATCATCATCATCATCTTCACCATCATCGTCATCATCATCGTCATCATCATTATCATCATTGTTGAAAGCTCAAAGATAAAAAAGGCAGAAATCGTCCTCATCGTCATCACCATCATCATCATCACTATCATCATCACCATCATTATGCTTGCTATTTTCATTGACATTATTATTATTATTATTATTATTATTGTTGTTTTTGTTGTTATTATTACTACTACCAATATCATCATCGTCATTATTATCTAGTTGTTTTTTTTAAATATGTTGATGGTATTATTGTTATCATCAAGTTTTTCTTTTAGTTACATTCTTCTTGTTTTTTTTATTGTTGTCATGATTATCATCATCATTATTATGTACGATCTTTGTTGGCAGACCTGAAGCATGACTACTGCCTGTCTGACGAGTACCGCAAGCTCCACTACCTGGTGGGGCTGCTGCTGTTTGAGCTGCGGCAGGCCATGACGGAACAGCGGGCCATCCGGCGCAGCGCCATCACAGTGCTGCGCAACCAGATGGCCAAACACTCGTTTGACGACAGATACGCATCTAGGGTGAGTGTGTGTGTGTGTGTGTGTGTGTGTGTGTCTCTCTCTCTCTCTCTCTCTCTCTCTCTCTCTCTCTCTCTCTCTCTCTCTTTCTCTCTCTGTCTCTCGCTCCCCTCTCACTCATTCACTCAACCCCCTCCCCCCCTTTCTCTCCTGTTCTCAGTCTTTGCACACAAGACATAAATCTAATTCTTATGTGGGTAAGTTATTTTGTTAAGTGTCTGCATCTGTCTGTTGGGGCACTGTATCTCTCTCAGTCTCAGCTAGCTGTACGCCTCCTTAATCATCTGAATTGTCTCAACATTTATAATGATTTATTTTGTTGTAGATGGGGAAAATGATTGCTTATATCTTTTAACAGTGTGGATGGTTGAAGGGTGCTCTGGTGTGGTTTGCTGCTTCTCTCCTATCAAACGTCTATCATCTCAACTCCTTTTTTAGTTTTGTATTACTGTCTAGTAACACCTCTAATCTTCGGCACCTATATGGCCTTTTGGTGTTGCAAATGCAGTGAAACTCTCACTAAAACTAACTGCACAGTAAAAAATGTACCTAGAATTTAAATAAATGAAATGCTTTTCTAAGCTTTTGTTCGTGTCTGATTTATTTTGTGTCATGTTCAGGTTACTTCTGATAAAGAGGTTTCTCAGAATTTTGTTTACATTTTTCTATATTTTCTCTCTCATGTCACCCAGACCCAGCAAGGCCGTATTGCAGCCTTGTACCTGCCACTGATTGGTCTGCTCCTTGACAGCAAGAACCAGCTTCTGCAAATAGGCCCCTCCCCCAAAGCCATGAACACACCCACTCCAACGCAGAATGGCGATGTCAACTATAGGTAGTTTTCATAATACTATTGTGTTAAAGGTTTATTAATCGTTATTATGTTAGTTTCCTTTCGTGCCATCTCTTATCTCTCCAAGTTTTTCTCTTCTCTTATTGTTGTTTCTGTTCTCATTCCTTTCTTTCAATTTTCTTTATGTCCCTTTGATTATTTGTTCTTACGTTGATGATACTAATTTCTGAAAGCATTCATAACTCTGTTTTCCTGCTACTTTTCAGTTGAATGTTGAAATTTTGAAAAGTTTGCTTAGTAATCTGGAACAGACTTTAAAATACACTTCTTCTTCTCTAGACACAACGATACATTTTTTTTCCTTCAGACTTCACAATACATTTCTTGTTCTTCAGACAGTACAGTACATTTCTTGTTCTTCAGATCCGACGTGACCAAGTCCACCATCAGCTTGTCCAAGGGTCAGAGTTCACCGGCTGTGGGAGGCACCCCGGAGCTGAAGAAGAAAGATTCCTCGGTGTTTGCCATGATCTCCGGAGCTGGTCAGTGTCAGTGTCGGGACAGGCTTAGATGTCATAGTAGTTGGAAGAGGAGGAGTTGGAAGATAAAAGGAAAATAAGATAGGGAGAAGGAGATCACACACACCCTCACGCACACCCACCCACACACACACACACACACACACACACACACACACACACACACACACACTTCGTTTTTATAGTCCTTGTAGTGTCAATGCAATATGCTTGTAGTAAGAGAGATTTGTTCATAAGTTTCAGTGGCTGCCACTCACTATGTTGTTGTAGTCCTTGTAATTTCAATTCTATATGCTTGTAGTAAGAAAGATTTGCTCATAATATGTTTCAGTGGCTGTCCCTCACAACCCGAATGAGTTGACGGTGGCAGCGTTCTCCGCGTCAGGGCAGAAGGGAAGTAACACATCCCTGGCCAGCGACTCATCCTCCGACAAGGAGGCGGGGAAGAAGGACGGCAAGATTATCACTAGGTATCATTTTTTGTGCTTCTACCATGACTTGTGTGCAGGGTTGGGTCGTGCTAGTGTTTGAGTGGATGTTTGTGTTTTTTATGTTTGTAATGGTTGATCTCATCCAGAGATTTTTTGGGTATTGTTCTTTAAATCTTTTTGTATGAAGAAGAGCTCATTGAAATAGTAACACTCATATAGTGATAAATAAGAAGGACAGATACGTACAATCAGCAGGCAAACTGACACAATGACACCCCAATACTACAATTGCATAGCTGCCACCAGCATGTAAAAAATCATGTTCAATACTTTTTTTTTAGGTTCTGAGTACAGAAGTTGGTTTTCATATTAGAAAACAGCCATTCTCCATTTTCTTGTATTGCTCCTTGTGTAGTTGCTGACCCTGAAGAAAAATTATGTACATTCAAATTTGGATTTGCAGATGATAATGAGAATGATGCCCATAAATCAAGTGGAGAGATCTTTTGAGAGGCTTGAATTTATTGAATGGAGAAAAGTATGTTGAAGGGGCTAGAAGTGGGGGTTTACTTGGCCAATGGTCTTCATTTTGACCGGCCACATGAGAAGTGTGTCTTTTTGTTTTGAAAAGCAGCCAGCAATGTAGTTGGTATTTTTGCTGGGCTACCATGTAGATGACTTGACCTTGTGTTTTTTAGGAAAGTGTTCAAGGCTCCTCATCAACCGGGCTAGATCGTATCAGAGATGAATGTCAAATTGAAAGTTCTGCCTCTCAAATTACTTTACAGTGCCTACAGGAACGTTTAACTAATATTATACTGTACCATTTCTTACTATACCGTACGGGACCTTACTGTACTGTACAGAACCATGCCGTGCCAAATGGAACCACAATATAGTACCATATCAAACCATATGGCACCATACCACACAACACCACATCATATTGTTCAATACCATAATATACCATATACAATACCAAACTGTTTCATGAATAGAATGTAATATCTTTTCTCTTCCCCTCCTAACAGAATGCCGTCCGGTGCCTCTTCGACACCAGCCTACGTGAGTCGCCTGGACAAACTGGACACCACCGAGATCCGTGACCTCCTCCTATGCTTCCTCTACATTCTCAAGCATCTTCCAGAAGGTGAGAGTCAACACGACCTTTATATGGTAGAGGCGCTGACTATTTTGGACATATCCAGCAATTCAGATTTATGAAATTGTCCGCATTTGCCTGATTTCTGTGGTAATACTTTCCTGCTAATACATTTATTTATTTATTTTTTAAAATCTCTTTGTGTATGTCATATCACACTTTATAAATGTACTATATAAATTATTATTATAGTGCACATTGTAAATGTTTACCCTAGTAGGCTGTTCACGCTTACGTTTCGTTACTCGTTCATGCCCTGTGTTTGTCCATGGATTAACCAGGTTATATGTCAGAACTGAGGGAGAGTCAATGTATTATTGAAGGGGGGGTTGAAAGAGAAAGTGATGTATTAATAAGGCCTGGTGTAGGCCTCTGTGGTATAGTGCTAAAGCGTTTTGCAGTAGCACACAGGAGACCGGAGTTCAATACCACTGTGGTAAGAATTTTTATTGAGAATCTCTGTCTTTCTGCTGGGATATTGTATTCCTCTCAGCCGGAGTTGGGTCTGCCCGGCATGCTTGCTGCTTGCTTCGTATGATCTAGATCTATGTTGACTGGGCGTAAAGATAACTATATAAAAAAAAACTGTAACAAGAAAAAGAAAAACAGAAACGAATAAAGCACAGTGTCAATTTCTTCCAGTGGAGGATCAAGTTCATTGAACTTCTGTTATTTACTCGTGTCTGTTTATTTCACAAACTTATGATATCTGTATTGAATAATTTTGTCTCGTTTCTTTTCAGATATATTGCTGGGCTGGTTTAACAACTCCTCTGAGAATGACATCATCGACTTCTTCACTGTGTTAGAGTAAGAAAGAATTCACTTTACTTTTGTCTGAACTTAACAACTTAACATACTGAATATAAACTGGTAATAAGATGTTTTGCCAGCATCATTACACAAGTGCATTAGTCGTTTTTGGAAGTTCGAGAAATATTGAAAAAGCTTAAAGAAGATTCGCCAAAATCACTTGTTATTTTTCAGTTCAAAACTGGGAAGGAAACAACAAAACTATAATATTGTAAAATGCCTATTGGTACCTTTATTCGAATAACAGTTTTTTCTGGAAATTTCTGTCAATCTGGGCGATTGTGAAATGATACTGATGATTGCTTCTTTCTGCATGCCAAGGTTAGGTAATTAGATAATAGGTGTGTGCTGTTTATTCTTTCAATGTTTCATCTTCATAAAGATATTTGTCATAGTATGTTGTACAATGAGAAATGATTGTCAGTTTGTTCCTTTTGAATTTAATTTTCTGCAGTCAACGATATTTGCCAAAGTTAAAATGTCCGAAGGGAATATTTTCGAACCTCGATGCGTTGAAGTTTTGTGTTCTTTACACTTTTTTTTTTCATTCAACACTGTTTTGGTGTCTTTTGCCCATTTAGTCTTTTGTGAACGTTTTCAATTCACAGTTTAAGTTGCTCAGTGTCATGTGTTCCAGAGCAGTAGCTCACAAACATTTCCCGAATAACTTTATCCACAAATTTCTTTACAAATCGTGAATTCAAGTCGCATGCAAAACCTCCCCCCCGGTAAACAGTAGCCCACACGTACATGTATTATACTGTGTACCATACTGTTTGTACGTCTTTATGCGTATTCTTCTTCTGGATTAATAATGTTGATGTGTCTTCTGTCGCAGACTTGCCCTGAAACATTTCCAGTACCAAGGTCGCAAGAAAATCGTCACCCTGAGGTAGTATATTTTCCCTCATTCAATTTTGTTAGGATACAAATTAAGTAGGGTTAACTGAAAATATCATATTATTCTATTAATACACTCAGAGTAAAAAAATAATAAAACAGTTGGCCTTAGGGTAAAAGAAATCACTTTTATTTATAATAAGGTGATCATATTTGTAGTAATACTACTTATGATAATGATACAATGTAAAGATGTCAAGAGAAGCCAAAAAAGAAGATTGCAAACTGCACACATCCACTAGTGGAAAGAAAGCTTTTAAATACTCAAAATGTGGCGAATTCTTCTCAACTAGAATTCGTCTCACTCATTGGTCAATGCAGAAGTCATTAGTTATCTTAATCCTTATTTTTTTTTGTTTCTCTTTGAGAAGCATTCTGCTCCGCAGATGCATCGGTCATCATCAGACATTGACTGGCGAACTTTTATTATTATCAATAGTGATATTGATAATTATAATGACAATGACAAAGAAATTAATTTATAAAGTGCATTTCCCAGTGTAGCTTAAGGAACTTTTGCAGAACCAAACGAAAAGTAGATACACGTGTAACATACTTTACAAAGATACAGCTCTGTGTTGATTATTATTCTGCTGCACTAACTATGTATAATTATCTCTCTCTTCTGGTGTCTCTGTCTTTCAACAGTGTGATCGGTAGTCACAAGTCGTCCACCATGCCCACCCCACTTCAGAACCAGCGCGGCCGCCCGGCCAGTCTGTCTTCCCAGCGCGCTCCGAGTCAGTACGGAGATCTCATGGCAGAGGGCATACACAGTGAGTGGTTCGAGGCTATGCCATGGTGGTTTGTCTCTGTGTCTATGGTGAGGGGAGGGAGCGGAGGGGAGGATGTGGGAGCTTTCTGAGCAGGTTGTAGAAGGGCGCCACTAGCAGGTCCTAATGCTGTTCTTTCCCCCAATTGTCTCTGTCTGTTTATCCATCTTGCTTTTTACCTGCACTGAATGACTGTTTATTACAATGAAGTGCACCTCTTTACTCAAAGTTAAGACCCCATCATTATCTTGCAGAAAAACTAAAGAAACAAGCTTGCTTTTTGTCACTGTTCTGACCTTGGACACAATCAAATAAACAAATAAGCAAACGATCTATTCCCTCGTTGACATGTTTGTCTTTTCCTCAAACTGTATTGATTTAAGCGTGTGCTGACCTTGAACTGCTCTAAATGAGGGGTGTGGTTGGATGGCGGCACTAGCTGGGCTTACTTCTGTCTTTCTCTGGGGGGTTTTTTGGTCTGTTTATCTTGCTCTTTCAGTTTATTGCTTGACTTTGGGAACAATTATAAATGTTCCCCTACTCTGTGACTTGCTTTTTGTCAATGTTGTGACCTTGGAAAATAAGCTGTTTCTTCTCTCCTTTGACCTGCTTTTTGTTCTCATCGTGACCTTAAGGTAAAAAAAAACAACAAACAAATGAATAAACAAGTTATCGTTTACCTCTGTGACTCACTTTACATCCTCATTGTTGAAGACTGGCAGGTGCAAGGGTGTTGTTTGCTCCTTCTCTCCTATCAGACATCTATCTTTCTCATCTCTCCTCCTTCTTTTGTTTGTATGGTACACTCTTGTAACACCTCTAATTTTCGGCACTTATATGATATGATTGTGTTGAAAGTGCTATAAAACTCTATTAAAAAGATATATGTGAGGCAGCGTGGTGGAATCAGGCTCTCGTCAAAATAATGAAAATGAAGAAACTTGCATTTTTCTGCAGGTTTGTGAATTTTTATCAAATTTTTTTTTTTTGGTTCAAAACCTTTCATGCCCATTAAAGAACTCATTTCTGCATGGATTTTTCTGAAAAATGTTGATTAAAGGTACAATAAATGTAAATTTTCAGTTGCCACAGACTCTTAAGTTAAGCCAAGGGAATAACTAATCTTTGGTGGGCATTTTCTCACTAATTTTACCTCTGAAAATAGGTGACTCCCACCTCCTTCATTCGCAAGTATCTTGACTTGTATTCAAGATAAATGGATATTTTTTTCCATCCAAATAAACACAAGTGAACAAGCTTTAAGATGATACCAATAACTCTTCATGCCCAAAACTTGACGAGAGCCTGATTCCACCACACTGCCTCACATATTTATTTTTAAAAAACCCATCCCCATCATGACTTTGCAGCTCCACACACGTCAGATGCAGACGCGATGATCCGGGCCCTTCAGGAGGCCAACATCTCCACAGAGGTGGGCCTGGTAGTGCTGGACATCCTCAGCCTCTTCTGCACAACCTTCAAGGTAAGACAGTCTTTAGAACTGTAGTGTCCCGTCAGGGGAAAGACAGGGCAGTGTCTATTTGTGTCACGACACTGTGGAATCGGGCGCTCATCAATTTTGAGGCTTTTGGAGTTACTGGTGTCGTCTTAAAACTTGTTGATTTGTCTTGCTTTTGAAGAAAAAAATACCCATCTATCCAAAATATAAGATGAGGTATTTGCTGTTGAAGGAGGTATGGATTGCATAGTGTCAAAGTTAAAGTTAAAGAGAAAATGTGTGGTGGCTTCCAGAACTATTTCCTTGGAAACTGTTGTGTCTGTCAGAAGGTGCCATTGTGTAAATCCAACTTCTTTACTTTCCTTCTGGTAATTTCTGTCCATCTAAATGCTTTTTCCTTCCCTGCTCAACAGAAGAAAACTTTAGTCATGTCAAAATGCTTCTTTTTACTTTAACTAAAACTTATTCTTTTATGTGCTTATTCTGATTCTGTATTATCTAGTGGAAGTACAGTTGACTGCTCAGTGTAAGACTCCATCATACGTCACTTTTTTCCCAAATAGCATATGGTGGAGTCTTAACACTAAGCAATCGATGTATATTTTTCACCTCTGTGCGTTATGCAATCATGTATACAGTTGTATGTAAAATGAATGTGTCTTGTTTTTCTCCTGTGGATGGCTGGCGGGTGCTTTGTTGGGGTTTGCTACTTCTTTGCTATCTAACGTCCATCATCCTAATCTCTCCTCGGTTTTTTTATTTGTATGTTACTATCTAGTAACACCTCTACTCTTGGGCATTTATATAATAATAATAATAATAATAGATAGCAT